AAACTTTCACTTTTTAATACTTGGTTGCAAATCCTTTGCAGTCAATTACAGCCTGAAGTCTGGAACACACAGACATCACCAGACGCTGGGTTTCATCCCTGATGATGCTCTGCCAGGCCTCTACTGCAACTGTCTTCAGTTCCTGCTTGTTCTTGGGGCATTTTCCCTTCAGTTTTGTCTTCAGCAAGTGAAATGCATGCTCAGTCGGATTCAGGTCAGGTGATTGACTTGGCCATTGCATAACATTCCACTTCTTTCCCTTAAAAAACTCTTTGGTTGCTTTTGCAGTATGCTTTGGGTCATTGTCCATCTGCACTGTGAAGCGGCGTCCAATGAGTTCTGAAGCATTTGGCTGAATATGAGCAGATAATATTGCCCGAAACACTTCAGAATTCATCCTGCTGCTTTTGTCAGCAGTCACATCATCAATAAATACAAGAGAACCAGTTCCATTGGCAGCCATACATGCCCACGCCATGACACTACCACCACCATGCTTCACTGATGAGGTGGTATGCTTAGGATCATGAGCAGTTCCTTTCCTTCTCCATACTCTTCTCTTCCCATCACTCTGGTACAAGTTGATCTTGGTCTCATCTGTCCATAGAACGTTGTTCCAGAACTGTGAAGGCTTTTTTAGATGTCGTTTGGCAAATTCTAATCTGGCCTTCCTGTTTTTTAAGCCCACCAATGGTTTCCATCTTGTGGTGAACCCTCTGTATTCACTCTGGTGAAGTCTTCTCTTGATTGTTGACTTTGACACACATACACTTACCTCCTGGAGAGTGTTCTTCATCTGGCCAACTGTTGTGAAGGGTGTTTTCTTCACCAGGGAAAGAATTCTTCGGTCATCCACCACAGTTGTTTTTCGTGGTCTTCCGGGTCTTTTGGTGTTGCTGAGCTCACCGGTGCGTTCCTTCTTTTTAAGAATGTTCCAAACAGTTGTTTTGGCCACGCCTAATGTTTTTGCTATCTCTCTGATGGGTTTGTTTTGTTTTTGCAGCCTAATGATGGCTTGCTTCACTGATAGTGACAGCTCTTTGGATCTCATCTTGAGAGTTGACAGCAACAGATTCCAAATGCAAATAGCACACTTGAAATGAACTCTGGACCTTTTATCTGCTCATTGTAATTGGGATAATGAGGGAATAACACACACCTGGCCATGGAACAGCTGAGAAGCCAATTGTCCCATTACTTTTGGTTCCTTAACAAATGGGAGGCACATATGCAAACTGTTGTACTTCCTACACCGTTCACCTGATTTGGATGTAAATACCCTCAAATTAAAGCTGACAGTCTGCAGTTAAAGCACATCTTGTTCATTTCATTTCAAATCCATTGTGGTGGTGTATAGAGCCAAAAATGTTAGAATTGTGTTGATGTCCCAATATTTATGGACCTGACTGTATGTGGCCTGTTCACACCACAATGCTTGTGTGATGTGCGATCTGGCACTGGATGTCACTGCATGTTAACACACAGCAGCGCAATGCACCTCTGAATCTATACCTATAACCTAGCGATCACTTCATATTAATTTTGAACCTGTTTTAGTTGTAGTTCAACAAGTAATCTTACTTTTACACAGCATTTATTCAAATATAAAATAGTGCTCTCCTTTACCAACTATTAATAAAGTGATTGATTGTAAAGGATATATACAATCATTTTTGCTATGAGGGCACTTGTGTGTGCTCACTCCTGAGCCTTGTTCTGTGTGTCCATTGACACAGCAGGACTCAGCCCTGCTCCCTTCCCTCCTCACTGGCTGTGATTGACAGCAGTGGGAGCCAGGCAGCACACAGAAGGTTTTTTTTACCTTCATGCATAGAATGAATGAAGGTAAAAAACTTTCAGCATTTACAATCACTTCAACATTAGGAGATTCCTCTCACTTGCCCCAGATGCACCCAGTATTACTTTGTAACTGGATTATCTACTAGGGGCCTGCAACCAAACGGATTAGCTCATCACACCACCACAGATCACCACAAAGTCAGAAAGAGAAGACAGATCTCCCCAACAGAAACCCAAATGGCAGGAAAACTCTTAGGCCTCATGCTCACTGGGCACTTTTTTGGCATTTATCTCCCTTTTTTTTTTTTTTTTTCTGCCTCTAAATACCCCTCCATGTTAGCATATGTGTCCTTGCATGCAGTGGTAACAGGCGTTTGGCCAATGAGAAGAATGAATTTTCAAGAGCTTTACATGCCTAAACGTGTCTAAGCGCATTTGCAAAAATGCGTCTTTTCTCCTGCCAGGTGAAAGGCATTCAGAAGAGTTGGGCAAACACCCAGTGTGCATAATGCCTTCAAAGGATTCCACCCTGAAAGAAATGCAAGAAATATCTAAAGATTGCGTATCAGATGGCCACAGTGTGAATCTGCTGGAGGTAGTCTCTGTGTTTGTTATGCTTGCTTACAGCACCCACCTTGTAGACTGAAAGAAATATGGAATTCTGTAAGTTGCCAGTTCACTGGCACAAAACTGTAGTATCAATAGGGCCATCCACTGCTTGATATTCAGTGTATGGCCAGCTTTATACTGTTCTTTTATCAAAATCAAGACTAAAAGAGAGCAGATCGTGTTTAAAGCAGTAAAAAGATCAAGTAGGATAAGCAGGAAAATGGATTTTGGATTTCCCTTCATAGAGATGATTGGCTTACTTTAGTGATGGCAATCTCTGTGTAAGCTATAGAAAAACCAGATTAGAATGCCCAGATCAAGCATGCTGGTGCAAAATATCACATCATTTGTGAAAGGGCACCGCGGAAAAGCAGGACAATATGTCATGGTTGGGGGATTGTGAACATAGCACAACATTTATGCTTTGGCAGTTCTACTGGTTAATTATGTGATGTTTTCAACTCTTGCTTTGATAATTTAATATCTTTTTTTATTGATGGGTTTTTATTTTCATGTCAACTCAACAATGTGGCATCTTTTTATGCTTCCTAATAATCATGGCTGCCAGTATTGTTGCTTTACATTGTTGAGGATCTTTGTTTATTTCTTGCTAATAAAATATAATTTGTATATCTGCATGGATGTCCACTAATCAGTCTAAATTAATTCTGGTGTGGGTTTTAGGTCCAGTACTAAAGAAAATTGATGTGTAAGCTTTTCTGGGACAAGGGCCTGTGTCTCTTGACAGCATGCTCTGATTGTGTGGATTTTTATTTGAAGCTGTATGGGGCTGTTGGCACTTTGATCAAAATGCAGTGGAATCCTGTGTCCAGTTCTCATCAGTGACACTTCTGTTTAGGGTTTGTAGGTTCTTTTATTTGAAAGGGATTTTCTCTTAAAGTGGTTGTAAAGGCTCACGGTTTTTCACATTCATCCATTCTATGCGTGAAGGTAAAAAATCTTCTTTGTGCAACAGCCCCCCCTAATACATACCTAAGCCTCCTCTAGATTCAGCAGTGGTCACTAGTCTCGGCTGTCCTGGGACTCCCTCTTCTCATTGGCTGAGACAGAAGTGGGAGCCATTGGCTCCCACCACAGTCAATCACTGCCAATAAGGCAAGGAGAAGAGAGAGGGGGCAGGGCTGAGCGTGAATGGACAAACGGAGCAGCGCGTGCCCCCATAGGAAGCTGCTTGCTGTGGGGACACCTGACAGGGGAGAGGGGCCAGGAGTGTCGGCGAGGGACCCGAGAAGAGGAGGATTGGTTCTGCTCTGTGTAAAACCACTGCACACAGCAGGTGAGTTTAGACATGTCTGTTATTTTTTTCTTTCAAAAAAGCCTTTAGAATCACTTTAAGCAGGAACACTTTCTGCATCAGGAACCAGCTGAAAATCGACTGGAAAATTGAAGGAACTGATTGAAAATTGTATTCTAACAGAATACAGTAACTAGCAACAGGGGATTTACCCATCCCACCTGCTCAGTGAAAGAACTCTGTGTATGGCCAGCTTTAGACTCCAGAAAGAGACAATTGGAAACAATGGTTGTCAAGAGCAATAGAGAAAGGGTATATCTGCTCGATGGGGGCACAGATGGAAATGCATACATGTTGAACACCAACATTTTTCTGTATGGTTACTTTACATATCACACATGTAATCTTGAAGCTTAGACTCAGCAACAAATCCATTTGTTTTGCTTTCACCTAGGCGATTAATTTGTCCTAGACACAGGCTTTTGGCATTTATCCAAAAGGCTGGATCACTTCCCATGATACCTGGGCCTTTTTGCCAAAACATTGATAGTGTTCATCTCGTTGCATGTGGTCCTGTTGATCTTAACTGGTTGTTGATCAGGTAGCAGTTTGTAGTGTGTTTGATTTAAGTGGTGTCATGCTTGCAGAAGGAATAACCCATCAAAACTTTTTTAGATTACAAACTACAGTACATACAGTTTAGTGAAGACAAAATACTTTTACCAATATACTTACATGCTGTATAAAAGAACATCGTAGCTCTCTTTGTGAAGAATTTGTTTGCAATTTTTTTATCAAGCTTTAAGGAGCACGCAAACAGAACCTATCAAGTCAGAAATGCAGGTTATCAGATTTGGAGATCTCCAGTCACTTGTGGTATACCAAATGACTCCAAACAAGAAACTTGTTTTTTTTTTTTTTTTTGTGACAGGCAATGGTGGCAGGTATTAAATTCTTGCTTGATAGAATATATATTTTTGTGTGTTTGTAAGAATCAAGATGCCTAAAATACAGTAAATATTTTCCCCGCAATGTTGGCCCTCAGCCTACCAGCATAGTTTGTTGTGTGATTTCAGTATTATGTTGTGTTCCGTGATAATGATTTTGTGTCTTGTTTATCCAGGAATGTTGAATTCATATTGCCCGACACCCGGGACATGTAGTTCCGGGTGCCGGCCAGGTAGTGTTTATCAACCAAGCAAGCAGCAGGGCCCACCTGTCAGGTGGAAGAATCTTCCGAGCTCTGCCTGCCCATCTGTGGCTCTCCACCATCGGCTACTTCTTGTCCTTACCCGGAAGTGATGTTATGATGTCACTTCCAGGTCCCTGTTGAGAGATTCCTGGCCATGGAGGTCGGGAAAGAATTTAATGCGCTATGATGTGCACTGTATTACATTCAGTGGAGCACAGGGGAGACATGCAGGGTCTTTTAGACCCTGTATGTCTCAATAAAGAGAACCTGCCACCAAAAATGATCACATAGGGGACTTATGAAAATGATGAAAATAAAAGTTTTGTTTTTAAAAAAAAAAAAAATTTTTTTTTTAAAATTGTAAAAAAATGAAAGTTTCACCCAATCTCATACCATCCCCACCTCCACATATACACACGTGCAAACGTAAAAGCACATGCTGGGGCACCTACACATGACAACGTCAATTGCAATACACATGTCACATATGAGAGTAATAATTCTAGCATGAGACCTCCTCCGTAACACTAAACTGATGACCTATAAGGAGCTTTAAAAGTGTTGCCTATAGAAAATATAGGGTGCTGAGGTTCATTGCCATTTCACGTGCACGCACAAATTTAAGGTTTGACAAGTTGGATATCTATTTACTCAATGAAACCTTGTCTTTGATATTTTACAGAAAATAGGTAATTTTATTGCTTTTTTTTTATGCCCTAAAATTAACTTACTTGTAATATTTACTGAACGTTTGTGATAATATCATGCAACATAAAACATTGGAACTACCACTATTTTATTCTCTAGGGTCTCTGCTTTCAGAAAATATATAATGTTTGGGGGGTTTGTGTAATCTTCAGGCCTAAAATGATTTTTTTAAACTTGTGCAAAAAAAAAACAGCTGTGGCAGCGAAAGGGATAAAGGATGAGCTGGTAACTCCCCTTTCCTGAGGAGCAGCCAATGGGTGCTCATTACACTGTAAGTTCTCTCCCCTGCCTGTTTGTCCCCTGGGGCGTATCTGGAGAAAGGGAGGGGAGGAGGAGATAAACAGCGCAATGTTCAAATATTACACATTTAAGTCGCCATAAAGCCCCTTTTATTTTTAAAAGCCCCAGACATTCCTAAAAGCACCTCAGATTTCAATACGGTTTTGGTTAAAATGTATTTGTTTTTGATCTGGACAAGTAAATTGTCATGAGGTACAAGTAGATTGGGGCACCAATTTAGTCCCTAGACAAGTAGTCTTTTCAGAAATTTCCACACCCCCTTTATACATCTGCCTATTATAGACCGGAGCTACATTGCTTATTGGAAATGCAACAACATGCAAATGACTGAGAAACAGCCGAGATTAGGTGTTTCTTGGTACAGAACATGAGTTTATTTAACCTGATCCAGACTGCGAAGTTAAGGGTTTCTTTATTCCAGATATATGGACTTTTACCTCTAGTTTCAGAAGAACTCCCATTTCAAGCTGGCATAAATTTGGCTTTTGTCAATTTTTTTAAATTAATTTCCTTGTTGCATACACAATGAAGGCCATTGGCTTTTGGGTTGTTTTTTCAGTTTTTTTTTTTTTTTTACTTGTTTCCAAAATTCAAAGCAGTTCCTCAGAATGAGCTATTTTGTATATGGAAATGTTGGGAATTTGTAGAATGTCTTAAAGGAAGCCTGTAGTGAGGAAATATGTTCCCAGACGACCATTGGCTATGCCTACTGTTATATCAAGATGGCATTTGTCACCCTATCCAAATTATTATGGAATTATTTAGAGATAGAAGATCATTACAATCTACAGGTATAAGGATTTTATCATCTTTTGTGCTGGTCATACACATGGCAGATTTCTGCAAATTTCAACCAGTTTTTATATCCTAAAATGATGAAATTCTTTAACCACTTGCCCTCTTGAGGATTTACCCCCCTTTGTGACCAGGCCATTTTTTGCATTTCAGCGCTGCGTTACTTTAACTGACAATTTGTGTGGTCATGCAACACTACACCCAAATGACATTTGCGTCCTTTTTTTCCCATGAGTTGAGCTTTCTTTTGGTGGTATTTGATCACCTGTGTAGTTTTTAATTTATTGCGCTATAAAAAAAAAAAAAGGCCGACAATTTTGAGAAAAAACAGTATTTTTGATTTTTTGCTATTAAACATGTCCAGTAAAAAAAAAAAAAATAAAAAAAACCTAATTTTGTCATAAATTTAGGCCAAAATGTATTCTGCTACATGTCTTTGCAAAAGCAAAATCCCAATTAGTGTAAACGAGTTGGTTTACGTGAAAGTTATAGTGTTTACAAATGGCGGCAATCAGTGGTTTACTAGTACTGGCTGCAATCAGGGACTTATAGCGGGACTGCGGCGTGCTATGTGACACTGGGGGGGAACTGACTTGGTGTCATTGACATCCCCAGTGACACCAATACAGTGATCAGTGCTAATAGAAAGCACTGACACTGTACTAATGGCACGGAGCAGGAAGAGGTTAACAACTGTGTGCTGTTTTACTATGAGGCTGTGTGATGTGTTTCACTGTAAGCACACTGTTTTGAATGCACTCCTGTGATCCACAGGAGAAGTACAACCAACCAAGCTTTGGCTATACTTCTTCTTTAAAGCGGTACTAAACTCAAAACCAAAAATGTATTCTTTTGCAGCTTACTAATCATAAGGCTTCATGCACATTGGACGTTTTTGTAATGCTGGTAACATTAGCTGTGTAAAGTCACGTTTAAAAACGTAAGTTTTTCAGCGTTTTTTTTTAGCGTTTTTGCATTGGCGTTTAGTGGAGTTTTTTTTGTGTTTGCGGTTTTTAGCATTTTTAGCTTTTTTTTTTTTTCCTCACCAAAAAAAATTTATTTTTTTTGCTCAAAAAAGTTCAAAACGCAGTTTTACTGTATTTTACTCTGTTTTGCCATTTATTTCAGCATTAAAGCGTTTTTTACAGCTAAACACCTCTAGAAACCCACTAGCCCTGGGTTTTTTTTCCAGCCTAAAAACGCTTTTTACAGTCTGTGTGCATGGACACATAGGATATCATGCTAGGGAGTTTACTGGCTGTAGAAAAAAATGTCAAAAGCCAAAAAACAGCAGCTGTAAAAATGCCCGGTGTGCATGAGGACTTAGATTTAGTGGCTGCATTTGTTTTCTTTTGTTTTTGCTTTTTCCCCATTCTGTTTTCACCTGGTGATCTGACTAGTAACGCACCCCCTGTATTAGTGAGACACAACTCTGGATGAAGGAGTAGAGGAGAGGCAGCAGCATTGTCAGTCGAAGGTAGAGGGGAGGGTAAAATGTACTAGCAGATTTGAATACATTAACACATTGAATTCAAACTCTGATTTACACTTCATAATCAGTTACAGCAAACACTTTTTTTTTTTTCCTTTTTGGGATAAATGTTTTACATAAAAGCTGATTATTTTTGATCACTGCTGCCAGTGGTAATTGGATTGTCTCATCCTTTTAAACTGATTCATATTGCTAGAGAGCTTTTGCTTTTGAAAAACAATAGACTTGCTGGCTGGATCACCAGATGAAAATAGAAGAAAGAGCCTAAAAGAGAAAACTAATGCAGCCACCACATCTAAGAATGTGTAAGCTGCAATATAATGTTTTTCTTTTGTTTTTAATACTGCTTTAACTTGCAAAAATACTATAAGCTGAGGATGGTTGTGGACCATACTTATAAAAGTGTCTGAAGAAAGAATTGCCTTCATATATATTTCTCACAGTAGTCAACTAGACTCATGAGGGATCCAGTTTGTTGTGGGCCCAGACAGCCTTGTGTATGAATACTGAAGAAAGCTCTCCACAAAGGTGGAAGACTTACCATAGTGACCATTTGGAGCGTTCATTTTTATTTATTTTATCATAAAATGAGTAGGAATGTTTCCTTCTTTCTAAGTAGGCCCCCAAGGTGGTTCTTAGACACTTATTAAATGCCGGGCCTCATTCATACCTGTTGTTTGCATGTAGAGACTAACCTCCAGTTGCTACTGTAGGCTAGAAATGTTTGTTCTTTAATCCCATAATTGTTGCACGTGAAAACCTTCTAGCAGTTGGGCTGTGTCTGTTATTTCTTCCATGCACTGGACTTTATTGTCATGGCTCACTTGGCATGTCCTATTTCTGCTAGTAATACAATTTGAGCTTTTATTAAAGTGAATTTTGCTGCCTACGCTGTGATGTCTTTTATCTAGATTATTTTGTTATAGCTTGCATTTCTCTCCATATTAATTCCCATCCCAGACCCTTCCTGTTATCTGCATAATATATATTCAGTGTGCAGGCATGTGAAAATGGCTGGAAGGCAATTGTCAGAATAATTATGTATTTATCTTTTCTTGTGTGTTCACAGTGTAATGAGGGTGTATTAAGGCCACCCGTTTTTCTAATCTGATTCTTGGAAGCTTTTCAGAATGATTACTGGTTGATTGAGATGCTTTTCAGGAATATCATCTCAAAAACACCATTCTTATTATATTTAGATTTCTGACTTAAGAATGATCTGACCAAGACTCAACCATCAATTATTGAAGCCATTAGATGGGATATGATTCATACCACAGGTCATACATAACTTTGAGCAGTCTTTGGAATGCTCACTTGTTGCACCTGTAAACCACATTGGTTATGCAATCCTAAAAAAAAAAATAGCCTCAAGAATGAAGAGTCCTAGCAGATGCCCTCGTCTTCCTTCGCTTACTGAACATCTGTTTGTGCATACTTTACCACATTTTCAGATTGTCATAGTGTGGTTATTTCACTTAGCTGTACTTTACTTTTTTTAAAACTGCAAAACCTTTTCTAACAAACAAAAAAGGGTTTTTATTTTTTTACCCCCTTACTTTTTTAACTTTGGAGGGGTTTTTTTCTTCATTGCCAAGGGGCATGGGGCCCTTGGGAATCTTTTGGAGGGTTAAATCCCCTCCCCCCCAAAAAAAAAAAAAAAAAAACCCAAAAAAAGGTTGGGGAAAACCCCCCCACTCCCAAAAAATTAAAAAAAGGGGGAGGGAAAGGGGGGGAAAAAAACCCGGGCCTTTTTACCAAACATTTTGGGTTAAGGGGGAAAAAAGGGAAAAAAAAATTTTTGGTGGGAAAGTTTAAACAAGGGGAATTAAAACCCGGGCCATTTTTAATTTTGGGGATTTCCAATTTTTAAAGGGTTGGGTGTTAAATTTTTTTTTTTTTTTTGTTTAACCAGGGTTTTTTTTTTTTTCCAAAAAAAGATGTGTGCTTTACAATTCCTCACAAAAGGGTTAAAAAATGTCGTTTTTTTTTCAAA